CCGGCGCCCCCCGGGGCCGGTCAGGGCGGGCTCCGGGTAGGTCTCACCCAGAGTCACTCCCGCCTGGGAGAGCGCAGCGCTGCCCAGGGCCCAGGGGGTGTGGGCGTCCGCTCCCTTCAGGCCCTGCAGCTCTGGGACCCACAGCCGGACGTACTCCCCCTGCGGACAGAGCCAAACCGATGGGATCCATGCAGGGACAGTCTGAGTGCTTCCCAGCCAGGGTCTCTCTCACCAGGAAAGGAAGCAGCCGGATTTCCCGGGGAGGCAGCTGGTGCAGGGCAGCACCAGTGACCTCTGCCCAGTCTCAGCCCCTCCTGTCAAACCCCTTCCCCAGAGCCAGTGCCCGCACAGCGAGCCACGGAGACAGGAGTTCCCCTCCCGGGCTCACTCTGCAGGCAGCGAGGGGAGACAGAGGAGCTTTTTTGGAACCATTCACCTGCCCTGCCTGGGACATGGCAAGGTGAAGTCACTCCCAAGATGTCCCTTTTTTTCTTTCCAGTGACTGTGGAGGAAACCCGGGTGACTGGGTCAGCTGCACGCCCACCTCTGTGCTTGGCAAGATGAACCCCCCCGCGCCCGCACCTCCCGTTAACTCCACTGCTGTGTCCCATGCTAGGACGAATTTCTCGCCCCTTGCCACGTCCTGCCAGCTGCAGTGCTGGAAGGCAACACCGCTGGCTCGCCAGGGAGATACGGAGTAGGGTGGAAACGGCTAATTCGGTATGTGAGCACCGGCTAAGCACATGGAAAGGGCGATTTAGCGTCTCCCACCGCTCACAGAGGAGAGTCAGAGGTTTAATCTACTCTCCAGAGCCTCCCGAGGTGCCACGGGAGCAGCTCGGTCTCTGCCGTCACTGCCGAGTTCCCCAAGAAGCTGCTCTGCGCCGAGGGAAATGGCTGCGTGAGATACGGCTGGGATGTGGCAGCCACCCGGAAGAAACGGTGACGAAGCACGAACACCAACGGCCGGGCAGGGAGGGCGTGCAGAGCACCAGCCTCTCCGGGGACAGGAGCAGATTGTAAACATCAGGTCCCCCCGTACAGGGAACCTGCCCGACCGTCGGCGAGGAGATCGCAGAACTGGTTTTGCAGCAGCATCCGCAGAGCAGACCGATCTCCTCTGTTCCCTGAAACTACGGTGGGTGCTTTGCCGCGCTGCTCATCGCCAGGCAGCCGAACGGGGCTTACGCTGCCATCGTAATCCAGGCCTTGTTTTATCACGTTAAACTTCCTGTTGTCCCGCGGGTCGTTGCCAATGCCAGCGCTGTACAACCAATTGCCGTAATTGCTACAAACGTCGTAATCCACCTGGAGAACAGAGGGAGAAAACAGTCAGCAGAGCTGGGCTTGGTGGATCTCCTCTCCCCATCCACCCCTTACCTCCAGGGGAAAGTTCACAGAATCACAGAATGGTCGGGGTTGGAAGGGACCTCTGTGGGTCACCCAGTCCAACCC